AGCACAGGGGCACCAGCGGGGCTTTGGGCATGGGGCAGGGCACAGCCCCGGCCTCCCCAGCCCCTCTGCCAGGGCTGGGGCTGTGGAGTGACCCCAGGAAGGCTTGTCCTGCTCTGGCCATGGCAGTGGGGCCACTTTGATCATCCTTTCTGTGGTCAGGGAGTCTCATCCCATCATGTGGGTGATGGAAGAGCCTCTCTTACCAACCCTCTTCCCCATACAGCCCTCACAGATGGAGTTGAGTCATGTCATTCCCTTTCAGGTTATTATTGACAAAGCTCCAGGAGCCTCCCAGCACCCCCATGGCTCTTCCAGTCCCCCCATGGCTTTCCCAGTCCCCCCAGTGGATCCCTGTAGAGCCAGGTCATCCACGAGGCTGTCGGTCCATGCCCTGCCTCCCTGCCCTCCTTGGAGCACTTCAGGCCCAGTCTTCTTTCAATTCCCTGGGTCTTAAGCATATGCTTACAGTTAATCCTGTGCTTACATTTTATCCCAAATAGTAAGAATTGGGGTCTCTGCACAAATTCTCCTGCTGTTCAAGGCAGCTGAAGGGCTCCCTCTAATTCAGCCGAGTAGTAATCCTCTCTCTCTCTGCCCTGCTCTCCTCCTCCTTCTCCCTCACTCAGTTCTTTCCTCTCCTCCTCCTCCTCCTCCTCCTCCTCCTCAAGTGTTTTTGATGTTTTGATTCTTTCATCTTCTGCTTACATTTTATCCCAAATAGTAAGAATTGGGGTCTCTGCACAAATTCTCCTGCTGTTCAAGGCAGCTGAAGGGCTCCCTCTAATTCAGCCGAGTAGTAATCCTCTCTCTCTCTGCCCTGCTCTCCTCCTCCTTCTCCCTCACTCAGTTCTTTCCTCTCCTCCTCCTCCTCCTCCTCCTCAAGTGTTTTTGAGGTTTTGATCCTTTCCTCTTCTTTCCTTCCTTCCCACGCCCCAGGGAATCAGTGGGAAACCACCCGATTTCCAGGGCAAAGGAGACATGGGTGCTTCCCAAGGGTGTCCTCCTCCTCCCTTGCTCCTGCAGCACAAGTGCATAAGGAGCCACCTGGGAGTGCAGGGAATTATAACCTGTGCAGGGAATTATCACTCACACGGCAAGGGGCTGCCCCGGGCAGGTGCAGGCGCATTGGGCGATGGGGTATAGCCGTGAAATGGGGTGTGGATTTGGGGTGGGAGGTGTGGGATACCCACTTGAATCCCAGCACGGCAGCTGCCAGCTGATGCTTGCCGGGAGAAATGTTTGCCAATGGAGAGACGGCGTTTCTCCACATTTCTGTAATTAGAGCCACACTGCAAACACAGCCGGCAAGGGAGAGACAGGGCTCTCGCGGTCCCCAAAGCTGCTTGCAGCCAGCAGAGCTGTCCCCAGACAGGCTCGGGTGTCCCGGCTGCCTGGCACAGTTCATGCCCCTGCTTTGCTTTTCACTTTTGGAAGATGCTCCAGGGATGTGACAAGGGAGGGAGGAATTGGGGCTGTAAATGGATTTTGCAGGGAGAAGGATGCTCCTTGTCCTGGCTCCCTCCTCCACCCCACCACTCCAAATCCTGACGTATTTTCCAGGCTTTCACCACTGCACTCTTTGTTTGCTAAGTATAAAATAAAACCCCACCCAAAACAAACAACAGTTAAATGTGCAGCCAAAATTAACCCTCATCAACCTGGGCTTTCCACCATGCCATCCCAGAGGAGGACCAATGGGAGACTGCAAACCTGGGCAGGACTCAGTGACATTAAACCAAGTCACGGACGTTGTTTCCTGACAAGAGTCACTTCCCACTCAGAAGTGGCAGGAAAAGCCGCGGGGACTTGGCTCTGGGATGTGGCACGCTCGGTTCATGGCAGCCACACTGGCATCCTGCCTGTCCTTGCCACACAGCGGGGGAAACTGAGGCACAGGGCAGGCTCGTGACTCACCCACAGTCCTTGAGGCCGGGTGGATGGATGGGGCGAGCAGGCGGCTGCAATAATTCACGGCGATGCTGCGGGGAAGGCCAGAGAAGGGCAGGATGCGGCCGTGGGTGGGGGGTGCTGGCAGCAGCTGCAGCGGGTCTGTCTGGCTGGAAACACTCCTGGGCATGGAGGGAGAGGAGCTGAGTGCCAAGGGCTTGGCCACACGCTGCCCCGTCCTTTGGGGCTGCAGCACTTTCAGTATGCAGCAATTCTCTGCCCACCGCCTGCGAGGCCTCGGCAGGGATGGTGTCAGCTCGAGGGAGAGCCCCGAGGGGTGGGGATGGTCCCCACCAGCATGGGGACACAGGCAGAGCCTGCTTTGGGGGCCTGCTGCCAAGGCACCCTGAGGAAGCAGGGCGGGGGGATGCTGCCCATGCAGGGGGTGGGGGCTCTGTGGGGCTGAGGAGGGGGCCAGCCCCGCTCACACCCCCAGGTGCATCCCCTGGTGAGGGTGGGACCCAGTTGGGTGCCCGGTGCAATGTGTCCACAGGTGAGGGTGGCACTACCTGGGTGCCTGATGCTTGATGGAGGGGGCGTTGGGAGGGTGGGGGTGTCATTTGGGCTGGACTTGGTCCCTGTCCCCCTCAGTAGGGAATTGTAGCTAAGCCACGGGGCTGAGGAGAGTCTGAGCTTGCTGGGGGGGGGGGGGGGGGGCTTTGGGGGGCGCCCACTTCCCCCCCCCCCCCAAATTCAC